ATAATGTTGTGGCCAACATTATAAATATGGAATTATAAATTTAAAACATTTTCTGGTTTAAAAAATAAATCTGGTAGTCAATGCAGCTCTGCGGGGTCTCGTCTAGTAGGGCCGGTCTCTGCGCTCCTGGCGGTGCTCGCCTCTGCAAGGCAAAGGCCCAGAGGGCGGTGGTCAGGCCAGGCCTGCTAGCTCCCCGCCCATGCCCTCACCCCCCCCACAGCTGGCTCCCCGCTACATACTTATCCATTTTCCCAGGTCCACCACGCCCGCCTCTTCTTCCTCCCATCTGTTCCATCAATGGTCCAGGGGGACCTCCGGGACCACCTCGTCTTCCTCCACCAAAGCCACCTCGGTCCATGCCTCGACCGCCACGGAAGCCACCTCGGTCTCCACCACGGCCACCTCTGAACATTCCGCCGGGACCTCCGCGGTCCATGAGGCCACCTCTCCCGCCCCGCATGCCACCAGGGCCGCCTCTGCCACGGTCACCACCTGAAGGGAAGCAGACAGGTCAGCGGTCAGGCATGCCTGGTGGCCGCTCTAGCTCGGCTTCCCTCGCCAGTGCACAAGGAACACAAATTTCTTATCCGTCACTCAAGCTGAACATGTGGGTTAACAGCTGGAAATGGGGACTCAACTCTAACCTACAGAGCTCGGGAGGTTTGTGGAAGACCTGAATCTGAGCAGAGGGCAGGCTGCCTAGGCAAAGCCCATGCCAACCCCAGAGGCTCAACACAGAAGCTGTACCTACCTGGGGGCGGGAAGGGTGGCGGGAGGAAGCCTTCAGGCTTAGGGGCCTTACACTGGTTGCATTCGGTTCTCCAGGCGAAGTTCTGATTCCCACAACCCCTGCATCAAACAGTAACACAACCCAAATCAGCAACTGCACCACAGCCCCGCAAACAAGCCCAGCGAGCAGGAGCCCACCACCCAACCCCAGTCAGACTTGGCAGGGCAAGCACCACGGCTGGGGCCTGTGCTCCATGGCCAGCATCACAGCCGCTGGACCCAGTGGAACAGCTGCATAGCACATCTAGGGGCCGGGAAAGGACCGTCACAAGGCTACTGAAGGAGCAATGCACAGCCCCATGCCCGGGGCATGCCAAGTGCCCTCCTTCCCCAGCAGACCCAGCTGCTGAGAACAGTACGTACGGGTTGGGACACTGCCAGTCCCCAGCTCGGTGCTGGACGTTTCCTCCTCCAGAGGGGTTCCCTCGGGAACCACGGGGTCCTCGTGGGGGAAAGCCCCCTCTGTCTCCTCCACGGCCTCCCATGCGACCCATTGGCCCACCAGGACCTCCTGGGCCCCCCGGACCTGCACGGAACAGTAAATTTATGGCACCAGATTTACTTAAGAAGAAGCAAAGTGCACGAGCTCACTGTTCCACAGACCTCTGTTCTATTCACCCCACCCCTCCCTAACTCTCAAGCCACCCTCTTCACCAACACTATCAATACTCCCCTCCCCATGGCCTCTGCCACGTTTGCCTGCTAGGGCCCCCTGGGTGAGTTCCAACACTCAACTGAGTGTGCCCCCAGGGACTCCTTCCATAGCCCCAAGCTGAGAAGAGCATGGAAGGCCTAGCCAGTAAATACCTCCACGGAGTGGCGGCGGCATGCCTCTACCCTCTCGGGGTGGCATTCCACCCCGCATGCTGTTCATGGGCGGCTTCTTCCGGGCCAGAGAGACTTTAAGCTTGCTCCCTTGAAAATCTTTCCCTGAAGAAAAGGTAAGAGAACCTCTGTTAGTTTTCTCCCTCCGAGAAGAGAAGGATCGCCACCTCCTGGATCCCTCCACCTTCATCAAAGACTGCAGAGTCCACGACAAACCGAGCTCTCTAGCAAAGCCAGAAGCAGCTTTTAAGAGATTTAAGCCCTTGAACCAAGTGCCTGTCCCCGGTGCCACTTCAGAGAACAGGTGTTTTAACAGCTAGAGTCAAACCACATTTCCAAGCCCCAAGCTGGCAAGGCTGAAGAATGTCAGCGAGCACCCCCTGCCGACCCCAGGCCGTACCATCAAACCACTCCACGGCAGCCTTGGCAGTCGGTGGGTCTTCATAGGACACAGTGGCATCGCCTTTGGGCTTCCCGGTCTCCTTGTCCAGGTAGATATGGATCATAGGCTGCCCAGTTCTCTTGTTCATCTGAACATAAAAATTTGCAGTTAGACAGTGACTAGACATAACCACATGATCCAAACTGTCAAACCATCAGTTTCACGTGCAGCCACACCTTCACTAGGTGAAGAATTAGGGGCAACAACTTCCTAATTCCTTGGCCATGAGTTGTAATCCTCACTATGTGACAGCACCCACCCCACTGAGGGCGCACCATCTCTTGATTGCCCTGTCGCTGGGCACTTGCTCCTGATCTTGAAGGGCTGGTGGTTGCTCTGTGATAGGCGGGACCCCAGTGTTACTGTTCACTTTATACACCAGTCTAGGGTTTGAGTCCCAAGGGTGAAAGGGTGAGTCCACTTCCAGCGTATCCTATCCCAATTTCTACCAACAAATGTGTTCTTCTATGACTAGCCCCTGGACAGCATTTATCCTAAAACCCATGGTAAGACCCAGCGTTCTAAAAAGCACAGAGTATGAATCTCACTTCCTCCCTTACCATCTCTTCTGCCCAGTGTCCTTGCACCTGCCTGGGTGTTCCCGGCGCCTAGACAAAACCCGGGAGGGCAGTAACTGTCAGGGGACAGGTAGGCTTAGAGACTGTCACAGCAGCCATGTCTGACAGAAAGGAAAACTACCCGTGAACCTTGAGTACAGCATGTATTGAAGTCAACACAGCTGGCTTCCCAAGAACTAGTTTGTCAGCTGAACTCCTGGTGTAGCTGGCTTGACTCTACAGCCACATTGTACACGGAAGCTGTACACATGGGCAAAGTGGAGTAATCCACACCTGGGCAGGGTTACAAGAGAGCCCCTTACCTACAGGGCTTTAAGAGGGGGGGCGGGGGGGAGTTGGGGGACGGACTGTTTAATACCATGTACAGATAGCACCCATGTTAAAAAAACACCAGGATAGTAAAAACTAAACAAAATATGTCAAAACACAGATGGTTTGAAATTTGTTCCTTCTCAATTTTGATGGTAAACACTTTTTCCATTTCACTTTTTAAACTGCCGTTTTCTTTTTGGCTCTTTTCAATATGGAAAACCCCCTAGCAAGTAAAGTGCAAATATAGAAATCTATAGTGAAGGATGGAGCAAACAAGGGCAGGAATTTTAAAAGGCAGTAAGAGCAAATGGACGCGATGTTTCCAGGTCCTGTTCCCAACTCCGCAGGGAAAAACAACTTTCTTAACTGGGAAGGACCCCCCACCCCTCAGCAAGCACCGCACACAAATGATCGCCGTCTTCCAGCCTTTTGGGGTTCCCCAGCCACGAGGAGCTGGGTCACGAGAGCAGTCACCACGAGCACAGCAAATCCTTTGTAACTGAGATCTACATGGCAGCAACCATCAAACCGTCCTTTTACTTAGGCTCTTTCATCATTAAAATGCAGACCCACGCATAAAACTAACAAAGTCGCAAGACTTTAAAAAGGAAATGGTCCTTATTAAAAACCTCAATCCATGGAGGCAAGGGAGAAATTTTGGGCGAAATTCTATCATCCTTTAATCCCATTTTCCCCATGAGTTTTTTGAAGCCCCCCCTACAAAATGTTTCCCTCACCCCCTGGAGTGTGTGTGTGGGCTGCTCAGTATTAGAATCAGTTCTGTAATGAAGTTATCAGTTTTGTAACTGATGAGTGTAAAAGATTCAGCTAATACTCAATAGGGGTTTTAACTGAACTTTACAAACAGATTCTAAAACATAAACAGAAAAACAAGGAACAAGGAACGGCAAAAATTCCAATCAATTCAGTGTCGTATTAACCCAGACCACACAAACTGACCAAAAGAACAAGATTCCAGAAACAGACCTATGTGTGGTAGAAACTTTACGGGATAGAAAAAGCATTCTAGACCACCAGGGAAAGGGCAGACCTTTCTATAAACACTTCTGGAACCAACTTCATGTAAGTAGGGGAGAGAAAAAAAAAAGATACCATTAAGGAAAAGATTGATAGGTTTAATTATATTAAACCAAATTTCTATTCATTGAAAGAAAATTAACTTCAGAACAAAACAAACCAAGTTCCTGCCCCTCACTCAGTCAGAGAAGACACTGGCAACAAAACCAGAGTGCAACAATGTACAGAACCACCTCCCTCCCTCCTTCCCAGTTAAGAGGTCAGCCACACCAATGTCCCGTGAAGCTGCTACACAAAGACCCGAAGACCCAGTCACGGCATACTCCTAGGTGCAGACGCTCAAGAAAGCCACGCCGTGAATGTCTGGAGAGACACACAAGCAGCGTTCACAGTACAGAGGGTCTATCCTGTCCTCGCCCGATGGCTTTCCTCCATCACATATCATCTGACACGTTGGTGTGCCCACACGGACGATCTCTACCACATGCAAGTTCCACACCACTGGCTTGTAGCAAATCTCAGGCCAGCTGTCCAGCTTCCACCAGATCAGTGGTTAACCTGACCTGGGAACCCACCAGGCGGCTCCATGGGAGAAAGCTGAGGCTGGCTGCTCCCATGACAACGTACAAAGTCGCTCTAAGTCAAAACTGGCTCGATGGCAATTATTTTGAGCTTTCTGGGTAGCAGTGCTTAATAAACAATCAAATTTATGAAATAAACACAAACCAGGGCAAAGATTTCACAAAGAGAAGAAATGGTGAAATTCCAGAAAGGAGAGGGAAGGACCAGAAACCAGCAGTTAGAAATCTACCAGATGCTTCCAAAGAACTCAAAAGCTCAGCCCAGACGCTCACTGTTTCAGTCTCTCAGAAAGTGGGGTCTGTGCGACAGCTCCTTCAGTTCACAATTACCACGACCCTGACTACTTAGTTAGGTTGCCGGCAGCATCTTTTCTAACAAAAGTTTTCTTTGGAGAATTTAAGGGACAAGCCACACGGAGTCCAGAGAAAAGTTTTGATGGACAACTTCAGAAAGGACACCAGGTATCAATTCAATCTCTTAAAAGTGCTGAGTGGTCCATGTTTTGCCAGACCACTGGCCAAGCTGTTGTTACTCACCTTAACCACCCCACACTGCTTAAAGAAGTCTGTCAGATCGTCCAGAGTCACATTGTCATTTAATCCCTGCACATAAATTGCACTGTTGTCAGAGTCTTCATCAGGATCGACAGGTGGGCCTGGAGGAAACAACGGAAGAAGTTGTTGCCACCAGTCTAGGCGTGTGTGCTCAGTAACCCACCACTGCTCATCACAGAGCGCCGACAAGCCGCAAGCTACGAACAAGGACACCAGAAGGCTGATGCTCATGCGGCAGGAAACCCCCACCTGCCTGCATCCAGCAAGACCACCACCCTGAGCCACAACGCTTCGGAAGTTGGCTCGCCTGCACGACACATAGAAAGATTAGACACTAAAATTACCTAAATCAAGATCTGGTCCTTCATCCATGGGTCCTGCCAACCAGGAAAGATCATATAAAAGATTATTAGTGCACGCCGTGTAAGCTACAAACCTTACAAACACACATAGCTATCTACTACACCACCAATGGAGGGGCTTCATTACTTCAAAATTGACCGGCACTGCTAAAACGCTGCAGTGCCCCCTTAATGTTTGCCATAGGTTTGCTAGGGTTTGTTTGCTGGTTTGCTTTTAAACCATTATTAACCAAATACACTCTTGGTGCTTAGGTGCCAAATTAGGGTTAAAGTTAACTCAAATGTTTTCCTCCAAATAAACCAAATTTAAAAAACATATTCTCCCCCACATTACAGAAGCAGTTGCTCAAAACTTCGAGTCACCCTTTGTTTCGTAGCCATAGGTTATTACCCCTAGACAATGCCGGCAGTACCCATTAGTCTCTTGGTAGGTCATCTTTAAACCACTTATGAAACTAATAAAAAATTATATTGTTCTAAAAACTGACTGTATTTTTTTTTAAAACACTATCCATGGTAATACTCAAAAACTTACCACCAGGCTTATTGAAGCCACCTCGCTCTCCAGCGCTGCTGGGGGGATAAACGAAGAAATGAAGGCCTTTCCCTTTAAAAGCCAGTACCGCTCTGAGCCTTGGGGGGGGCTCGTGGGGAAGAAGGACACTGGCTAAACACATCTCCAAACAACGCATCTTTCTCATCTTGTCACTATGCCTTTCTTCAGGGCAGCTGGCTCAAATGTCCTTTATACACAACCTTGCTTGTCTGATTGCACACACCAGTGTGGGTTCGTTTCCTTTCATTTCTGGGGCTGGTATTAATAGTGCAATACTTGGTAAGTTAGGGAGAAAAAAAAATTTGGTCCCAAACACCCACCCCCCAACAGCTGAAAAGCAGGGCGAACCTGGTGTAGAGAGAAGCGGCAAGATGGGCCATTCAGCTCATAAAGGTGCACCCTCAACCTCCCCCGGGGGAGGGCCAGCAAGGCCCCGCGCTTCCTAACAAGGCTTAGTATCCTCCCTCAGGCAGGAGACAACCGCACCAAGTGCCTACAACACACACAGGGACACATCCATCCACTCTTCAGCATAAAGCCATACATTTCAGGCACCAGTGGGTTTTACAATCGCTGTGATAGGAGAATTTACAACAAGTTCCAAGGCTCACTGGGCTCAGGGTGCAACTTTATGGACTCCTCCGTGCTTTTAAAAAAAGAGGACAGAGTAATAAACATAGAAGTTTTGGTTAGATTTTCTTTTACGTTTCCAAAATTAAACAAGGTAAGTCCTCAGTTGGTTGGAGGCCCTGAGTTTTTTCAAACCAGTATTGCACCTTTAATACCTGAATATACAATTTCAAGCTGTTGCATGCAGCTTTGCTTCCTTTTTAAAAGTACACACCATTAAATGTTCTCTCTCTTTAAACACAAAAGTTTACACTTTAATGTTACACAATTCTAGAGTATTATACCTCCTCTGGTTCATTACCAAACAAGTATGCAGTTACCAAAGTTACAGAAGGATTCCATTTATACAATGAATACATTTTGTTAAAAATATTCTATGTATATTTTTCCTCTCCATATGGACACCGTGTCTAGTCCCACTTTTCATTATGCTGCCGGCTGAGTACTGAGTACGGGTACTTTTTAAGTATTGAAGTGTATACAAGGCTCTCACTTTGTAACCTGTAGCATATAAATGCGACAAAGCATGTTAAAAAGTTTCCACGTTTAACAGCCAATGAAAATATCAAAATACTGAGGCAATGAAAAGGGCATGTGAACAACATTGACCACCTTACCTGCAGAAGACACTGAAACCCATCACCACACCGCACGCATCACAATGGAAAGCGGACAGGGTGTCCCCAAGAGAGTCCCCAAAGGACCCAACCAACTGCTTCAGTCTGTTGAGAAACCTTGGGGACGCCTAGAGCTTTTCTATGGCTCCAGGAAGACTTCTCAGCCAGAGGGAGGGCCCTCGACTAGCAAAATCAGCAGAACAATTATATCCACAGTATTAAAGTGGGTGAATTTGAATTTTTTTTTTGGGCAATAGAAAAATAATAGAAATTCTAGGTGATTTGCAATGTGATGATAGTAATTTCAAGTGCCTGGGTCTATTTTAAAACTTCTGTAAGGTGAAACCTTTACATTGGAATGCTTTTCTCCAAATCAGAAACCTGATTTTACTTTATGCCAATCGCTCATTAAATGGTTTTGCATGTTGTAAAAGGACTGTTTTTGCCAATAAAGATTTCACTCAAGACTTTAGTTGATTTTATTAAGTTATGCAGAATATTAAATTATTGTTCAATAGTTATGAGATTTGCTAAATTTGCAAGCTATATACACTTGCCTTCCCAGTCAATTTAATTTTGATATCCACATCTATAAAAAAACAAACAAAAAACCCCCCCATTTTTTCCTTGAACCAACAGCAGTAACAAATTCAATTCACTAAATGGAACATTCTGCATAACTTTAGCTTATCTAGGGACAGAACACACACAGAACTAAGCCTTCTGGATTCTGTTAACCACCGTTACACCTCACCTTCATTAAAGCATAGACACTGGAAGGGAGGAGGGCTGGGAGGAGGGAGGGGGGTAGGGCGGGCAGAGGTAGCAGGGTTGTGTTATAGATCCGAACAAAGTTTTCTAAACCGGACTGTGCCATCCGTCAAAATGGTCAAACCGATTTAGACATTTCAAAATCCCCAGTGGGGAGCAATCCTGGAATTATATACATTACTCTTTGAGAAGCGTTTGGGTTCTTCTATGCTCCAACCACACTCTATGTACCTCAGGCCACAGATTAAGGATTATGGGATCAAGATCAGCATCAGGTTCAACAGTTCCAAGTACAAACAGAAGCTGGGGGCAAACATGGTGGAAAACAGCTGCATTCCTTTTCTGTAGTATACACACCAGGTATTTCAGGACAACCATTCAGAGGCCATTAGTTAAAAACCTATGGTTAGAAGGTTTGTGTGTGTTCCATCCCAAGTCTGTTACCCACAGAGGCTTCCCACCTCTGCCAATCACGAAGGGAGCTGAAAGCTTTCGTTTCAAAACCATTCTTTGCTGTCCCCAACCCAACAAAGTATACTGGCAGGAGAGAAAAAGCAAACTGCCACTTAAGATATGCCACCAAGATGACATTTCCATGTTTTAGAAGATGGCTTGAGCTCAACAGATTGTCCATGGAAATGCAGAAACAAATTTCTCATGTCTTTCAGTCCCTTTTTCCATTGAAATTCCTATGGATGAAACAAAATTAAGTAAAAGGAGAAAAGGTTTGCTCTTACCCCATTCCACCGCGTCCTCCTCCCCGCCCACCTCTGCTCATGCCTCCACGATCAAATCCCCCTCTTCCCCTGCCCCGGTTATCAGGGCCACTCATGCTCCGGTTTTCTCCTGGTCCGGAAAATCCTCCAGACTCCTGCCCATAAACACCCATGCTACTGGGGTGGTCCTGTCGGAATGAACCTGAGGAAAGAGTCACATCTGTAAGCAGAGCCCAGAAGCCACCCCCTGCTCAATGCTTTTTCTCCGGAACCAGACTTCTACTTCCCTAGGCTGTGACCAAGGCATCTTCTCTAGGGCGCGAGGAAGCCAGTAGGCTCTTTACATTCAGCCAAAATCTTGGTTCATGTGGGCTTGAATAACTTAGTATAGCTATAAAAAACCACCCCTGCACAAATAAGGGAACAAAACAAATAAGACCCCAACAACCCCCCTGGGTCAACATAGAGTAGATAAAGTTTTGGGTCTTAAGATGCCTTTGAAAGATGTTTCTTTACAGCTACACTCAACAAACAGAAATTGCCTGGCTTCTGGGCTTTTAGGACATCGCTAATCTGTCAATCAGGTAGCACCACTCATCTTACAGGGGCAATGACACACGCCTGTGGATGGAATTTAATTTAGAAAAGAACAATTCAAGTAGAAGTTAAATTGTTAAGACAGTTTTGGGTTTTCAGTTACTTTTTCAAACAAAAGAACTAGCATTAATTATTTTGTATGGCTTTCTACCTCAGACTTAAAAAAAATACCTATATACAGGTATAAAACATATATGGCATTTACCTATCAAATAATTTTAATAGCTTGCCTCCCACTCTCTCTTGCTACCAGTCCTTGACTAGAGGTGGGCAGTCCATAAGTACTAACAATGTCACTCACTCCACATAACCACCCCAAAGAGTAGGGCTAGTAGCCTAAGCAGTTTTCCCTGATTTGCAATAAAACCATTTTTCTTCTTTCCCTACCAAGGTGTCTATAAAATTAAACTACAAAAAAGTCCTAGCTTCTTCACAGGGGTACCTAAGCTGTCTGTTAGGATGCTATACCCTGAAGACGCACCCCACCCCAGAGTTCCCAAACAAACCGCGGTAAACGGCAACCCCGTTTCTCTTAGCCACTCACTCTGCTGCCCGTAGCTGCTGCTCTGTTGGCTATATTGACTTGGTGCCTGGCTGTAGGAGCCAGTCTGGGGGGGGTAGCTAGTTGGCGGCTGCTGTCCGTAGCTGCTCTGCTGCCCGTAGCTGCTCTGCTGCCCGTAGCTGCTTGGCTGTCCATAGGTGTTCTGCTGAGAGTAACTGCTCTGATCGTAGCCAGTCGGCTGGGAAGAAGAATAGCTGAGAGTGGGAGAAAAGAAATACAGCTTTGTAGGAAGGAACCAAGGCTCGTTATTTCCTCAAGCCCCCAAATCAAGTGACGTTTTGCAGTGACACAGATAACCGTAAAAATGTAGTTACATGTCTACACTGTGAATTTTAAATAAGCAACTCTTTCTGTATTCAAAACAAAATTTTAAATGAGAAGGGACATTAATTAAAACAGGTTACCTGAAGGACCCTTAGTCTTTTTTTTGAGTACTTTTGTTTTTATTTATTTTTTAATCATTTTATTAGGGGCTCATAGGACTCTTATCACAATGCATCCATCCATTGTGTAAAGCACATCCGTACATTCATTGCCTAGGATCCTTAGTCTTCCCTCATATCCCCCACCACCACTTAAAAAGCAAACCAACATTCCCATTATTTCAAGGCAAAATTGGGGAGTTGCGGGTTTTTTAGTATTAATAAGCTCATGTGCTCATAGGGAAGAAGCTGACTTTGTGAGAGAAAAAGAGACTAAGTTCAGGGGCCAGTTTAAGCTTATTTTAAATACTTTCCTAGAGCAATTACAATGATGGTGAAGACACAAGCCCATTTAGTGGTGCGTGCATGTGCATGTGCACTCCCCAGGGTATGTTCCTGAAGAGTTTTCTAAATGCTCTAAATTACTTTGTGACACACCATTTACAAATCTCAGGCTGGTCTCGTTACCTCTGAAATATGAGAACTAAATGACAAATGACGAATGCACAAACTTCAGAATCAAGAGTCCCTATGGGGAGACACAGCAGGGAGACGAAACAAAGATGCCTCGTTTTTCAGAAATAAGACTCAAGGGAGGACCAGCACTGAACTCTGACCTGCTGTACTCACATGAAAAAGAAAACATTTTAAATATGTAATTACACGAATTCTCTTCACATCAGTACAGACCCAGAGCTTCTCTAGGAGCACACCCTGCCTGCCTGTCTGCTCTCACAAGATGCCCAAGCTGGCTTTGGGAACAAACAGCTGTGAGCGCTGCCCACTTTCTCCCAAAACTTTAGACACAATTTTGGGGGCAAATTTTTGTTCTGACCCCTGCTCACATCTACCATATTTAAATGCATAAACGAATTCAGCACAAAAATAAATAAAAGCTCTAGCAAAATTAAGTTGACACGTTAGGGCAAATTTCCCCCCCATTGTGGTTTGGTTCTTATATATTTTTCTTTTTAAAAAAAATCATTTTATTGGGGGCTCATACAACTCTTATCACAACCCATACATACATCAATTGTGTCAAGCACATTTGTACATTCGTTACCCTCATCATTCTCAAAATACTTGTTCTCCACTTAAGCCCCTAGTGTCAGCTCATTTTCCCCTCCCTCCCTACTGAACCCTTGATAATTTGTAAATTACTGTTTTGTCATACCTTACACTGTCCAACGTCTCCATTCACCCACTCTTCTGTTGTCCGTCCCCCAGGGAGGAGGTTATATGTAGATCCCTGTAATCAGTTCCCTTTCTATCCCATCCTTCTGGTATCGCCACTCTCACCACTGGACCTGAAGGGATCATCCGCCCTGGATTCCCCGTGTTTCCAGTTCCTAGCTGTACCAGTGTACATCCTCTGGTCTAGCCAGAATTGGGATCATGATAGTGTGTGTGTGGGTGTGTGTGTGTGGGTGTGTGTTGGGGGGGGTGGGGGGAGGGAAGAGGATGCCTTTAGGAAATAGAGGAAAGCTGTTGTTTCATCGGTGCTACACTGCACCCTGACTGGCTCGTCTCTTCCCCGCGACCCTTCCATAAGGGGATGTCCAGCTGTAGGGCCAAATTCTTACAAGTGCTTTAAAAATGTGCTTCAACATTTAAGTGGGAGCCTAACAACTTATAGCTAGCTCTCCCTCTTCTTTAAAGAAACCAAAATGGGACATTGTAATTTATGGTGTGGTTAATGCAAGACAAATATATAATCAAGAGAGAAAACCTTGGCTGAACATGAAAACCCTGGGATCTATTGAATGCGTGCTAGAAGGCACTTAAGTGTCATCTTTTTCACTTTAACTAGCAAACCAGCCAGGTGGCTTTGAGCTAACCAAAATAACAAAATTAAAGGAAAGTGTATCAAGAATGCCTGTCTGCCAAGCCCTGTAAGGGGAACTCAGGACTGAGGTGAGTATGTAACACATGGTCAGACTTGTTCGTCAGAAAACATACCTGCGGAAGCCAAAGCAAGCTGGTCCCCACCTAGAACATTGGTTTTGTTCACTTACTGAGCTTGGTGGCCAGGGGCATGAAGAGACTGACCTGGTAGGAGGATAGGATGGAGGCGCGGTGACCGGCTGCATGGGGTAGCTCCCAGGCACCTGGGGGTAACTGTAGTTACTTTGTCCATACCCCATGCTGGGCTGGCTGTAGCCTCCTGTGCTGGATTGAGGTTGACTAGTTTCAGCAGGCTTGCTACCATCCTGTGGTCTAAAGGAATTATTTTCAAAGGAAGAGGCATTATTTCTCAACTACAAAACACAACAGATCTATATGCAAGAAATGTGTTAGGGAGAAGCCAGTCAGTAAGGAGTAACGTCATTCATTGATGGCAAACCCAGCAGGAACCACACCCACTGTCTTGTCCCACTCAAACTCTATTGCTGCAGTTAGGTGCCATCGAGCTGATCTTCACCTATGGTGACACCAGGTGTGCAGAGCAGGGCGTGTCCCAGGGTATGAAGTCAACCACCAGGCTCGTCTTCCCAGGAGCCTCTAGGCGGGTTCAAACTGCCAATCTTCTGGCAAGTGTCGGACGCTTACCCTTCTGCACCAACAGGACCTCTGTTTTCTATGAATTCCTACAAACAGCACTTGTAACGTTTGGTGCTGCTACTTTAAGTGACCAGGGAGGGTTGGAATGTTAGGTTAGACAATGCTTTTTCTGCATATAAATTAGATTACCGGAGGTTAAAAAACTTCCAGTAGCTGTGGGTTCTTCATGTTTCTCCTGTATTAACAACAGCCTGGGGAAAAGCAACCCACCCAACCTTTTCAACAATCTAACCTCACCTCCAGGGTTTCACAATAGGAAATACTAGAGCAGAGTGCCAAACTCATGCTCAGATACACTAATAGGGAAATAGCTCCAGTAAGTGCCCCAAACCAATCCCAATCACCTGGGGAAAACCAACCCAAACCAAGCATGCAACTCGAGCCCAGATGAGTTACAGCCTGGTGAGTTTAAGCGCTCTAAAGCAACGTCTCAAGACGCCAGGAGGCAGGCCAGAAAGGATGTGGAAGCACTGGTTTCTCCACCCCAACCCCCAGAGGAGACACCACCCGTATTGAGATAGACAGCCGTTTTAAAATGGTTAAGATTAAAAATATTTTAAAAACCAAACAGGGTGAGAGGATGGTTCACACAACAATTATTCCTGGGAACCCACCATCTATGGCTTGGTCCTACTGTCCCAATGGAGCATCCTCATCTAGAACCACTCGGCGATGCCGTCAATAGAATGGGACCCTCTAGAATCAACTACCTCAACCACTGGCAGGTGTGAGCCGAGTGGCACTGAAAGCAGTCTTGTGCATTTTAGAAGTAACTTTATGAGCGTTTTCCAGAGTCAACCTACTTCAACAGCAATAATTAAGCTGAAGGTTGTAAGTTCTAAGACTGTGTTCCAAGTCTTTTCACATCGGAATTCAATGATCCTCAAGACTGCATGCAGAGCTCACCTGAAGCACTGGTGTGCCCAACCTTACTTGGCCCACCACCCCCTTTCCAGAAAAAACTGCTGGCCCCTAGCAGTCAACAATTTTTGTACTATAGCCCATGACCCAGCATCAGGTATAGAGATATCTGCTTCTGCAGCTCTCCTTGGGGCAGTACTGCTCACCTTGGGAAAGGCTGGCCTAAATCAAAGCCCTGGAATCTTCTGTTAGGCACTGCTGCCTGCTGCTCCCAGCAGAGAAGTCCTAGTGGTTGTGATCAGGTGCTAACCAAAAGGCCAGCCGTTTCAACCTGTCAGTGGCTCCCTGAGACAGATGTGGCAGTCTCCTTCCATAAAGACTTGAGCCTAGAAAACGCTATGGGGCAGTTCTGGTGTGTTCTATTAGATTGCTATGGGTTGGAACAGACTCAACAGCAATAACCAGCCACAAGGCGTGAACTCTGTTAGTGCTAATACTCACTCCACAGTAGGCATTCACTTACGGGTTTATCCTCACTTTGATAGCTTTATCAAAGCCCCCAGAGTGGAGAAAATCTCACCAACTGGGCTGGAACCGAGGTACTCACACTCCTTCTCTGGGACGGGAGCAGTCCCTGACTCCACACCCTCCCTTCTGAACTGTGAGCTTTTGTGCTTCTCCCCAGGAGAAAGCTGCTACCCACAAGCAGGTTACTGAAAGCAGAAGGTGCATTAGAAGTACCACTCTATCCGTTCTCTCGAGGGAAACCACACAGTCAACTCCCTTCTGCTTTCAGAAAAGTACCAGGCTACCATCCTGCACTCAAACCACCCACCAGGAGGCACTCCTCACTTGGGTCCTTGGATGGCACCATCGCTCATTAAACGAAGAGTATCTGTGAGGTGGCGGTGGTGTAGCAGTTGTCAATGTAATGACTGTAAGAACACAGTTAGCACACTTTGCAGAGTCAGGAGGTGGTGAGTGTGGCATTACCTTGCAGGTGCGGTGGCAGCCGGCTGCTGCCCATACGTTGGGTAGGCAGGCTGAGTACCGTATGCAGACTGGGCTGCATAAGAGGCCTGGGTGGTGGTCACCGTTGCTGTGGTGGTGTCATAAGCACCAGTGCCGTAGCCCTGGACAGGCTGGCTGTAGGCCTGTGGGGCAGCTGGAGTACTGTACCCTGGAACAAAGAAGAGCTGTGTTAGAGTTCCGTCCTCCCAGAGACCTGCCTCTGCACTCAACAGAGCCTGCCCCACTCACTTTCAACCGGCCCAGAAGCATTCAACCCTGCTTAATTCCCTTTTAGCAAGAGTAGCAGCCAACCAGCTATATAAAGCCATGTGCTCTGGAAGTTCCCAGTAAAGCACCGTCTGACCTGCTTTCAAAACTACACCTAACCAAGAGGGGAGAGTCTGGGTCCTCCACGTGCTAGCACTACTGTAGCACACAAGATTCCTTCTACCTTTCTTATAAGCAACCAGTAGGGGATGAGCTGGATACTGTTGCCACTTCTAGGCTAAATTTGCTAAAGGAACCCTGGTGGCATAGTGGATTTGCATTGGGCTGCTAATCACAAAGCCAGCAGTTCAAAACCACCAGTCATTCCCTGGGAGGAAGGCCTTTTCTACTGTAGTCTCAAATGCACCAGGGGCAGTTCAATCTGTCCTATGGCATTGCTGTGTCAGCATCAACTCAATGGCAGTGAGTCTGATTTTTGGCCTTAAACATGTTTCAATTAACTACCAGGAATAACTACAGAAACGTCAATGTTACTGGACAGTGTAAGACATGAAATAACAACAATAACGTAATTAATCAAGGATCACCAAGGGTGTGGAATGGAGGGGAAAAAAAGAAGAGCTGATACCAAGGGCTCAAGTAGAAAGAAAATGTTTTGGAGATGTTGATGGCAAAATATGTACAAGTGTGCTTAATACAATTGAATGATGGATTGTCATAAGGTTTATATTCCCTTCTCAATAAAATTATAATTCATAATTTTAAAAAGAGGCAACATTTTAGAACGATCATTAAAAACAAGATCCGAGCACTAATTTTCACACTAGAAGCTATCACTGAGGCAGCACTTCACTTTGTCATGTGCTTCAGTACCAAGAATGCACCACGGGCAGTTCATGCTTAATCTTCAGTGCTAACACAAAGTTAACATGCGATTGAACATCCCCTTGGTGTTTCAGATAACAATGAACTAAAGGCTGCATGTTATTACCACCATCATTTGAAATGGTTCACCAACAATAGAGACAGTACACGTTTTATCTGCTTGGGTCTAACCAGCATAGATTACGCTACATAATTTCTGCAAGTTACTTATTTTCCCAAACAAATCTCACACTGTCTGAGGTTCTAGGCGGCCTCAAGTCACTGCTCTAGTCCGTCTTACCACAGGAAAAGGCGCTTCTTCCTGTTCACCAACACTGGTGACACCCTCCTCTACCTTCACTTGGCATTTTCCCAACCAGGTGTCGTGAAGACCTGCTCCCACAAATGGACTGTAAACCATGATGGGCTCTCTCTCAAGGCTCCCGACTTGGCTTTATCACTGTTCTAGGGCAGGGCAGAATCCAGGTCTGGTCCTCTACCCTCTAGGATTTGGGCTTGGAAAGTCTCAAAAGGCCTTAAGAGGCCAGAGGCCAGCTCCTTTCCTACAAGGCTAACTGCTCCTGGAGCTGGGTTCTTCTCCCTCTCACTGCTCACAGCCAAGGGGCACAGATCAGCCATGCGACTTTTGTGCAAGATTATCTGTATAACCCAAAGAAAGTTTCAAGCATCAGTAAAGTAAAAAACAATTTAAGTATTTAAAACAAATCTTGACTTAAGATAGCTCATTTTAGTTAAAATTGAAGGTCTTAAAATTTTTCATTGGAATAAAGTGGCCTCACTAAATATACAACTTACCAGCCCCAAACAATAACTTCCCTATATGTAATTCAAAGCGTCACTTTTCAGAGCAGAGAGCATACTTTGTTCTCCATCTGAAGCATTTTAAGGAAATACTAGATTTCATTATATTCCAAGACAGTTATTTTGTTCTCAAAATGGTTGAGAGAAAACAATATTATTAAAGTGTAGTTTTGCAAAAGAGAGCACCTCAAGGCCTGGTGTTAACAATTTATCTCAATGTTCTTGGAAGAGCACTATTCCACCAGAATTCAACTCCGCACACTGGCGGACTCGTACAGTCTGTGGTCCCCACTCAACGACAGACTCCCCCCAAGACTTCCAAGAGCAACGAAAAGACAAAGACCAGAAAAGGTAAATGCTGATCAGGGCAGGAACTCAGGTCATAAAAGGATGTCGCAACAACTTGTGCTGCTAAAGGATAACAGTAATGGACAGTGGGTTAAGGGGTAACCTTTAAATCTGGAAGCCCCACACAGTTGGCTGGAATGAACAAAAATCAACACAGTACTGATTTAAGGACACTAAAAACAATACAAACTCACATATCCACACTGTGCTGATGCCCTTAAGGGAAAATGGTAAAGCACATTCCACAACTAACCAAAATGTGTGTTCAACTTGAATAATTATTTTATTGCAATTTATGCAGCGACTTTTCTTGGGAATCTTTTGATAAAGCTCTCTTTTCACCTTCCCAGGAACTGTCCTGACTTTTATGAGAAGGTGGCACAGGTGGAAACAAAGTACTAAGTATGCCAATCCCACTTAGGGCCACTGCTTAGTTTCCTTCAGCCTGTTTGTTTGGTCACAAAAGATGCTGAGAGGATGAAGGGGGACAATTAGAGGTCTTCCATAAACTGCAAATCCCACACAAACATTACACAGTCAGGCGATCAGGTCTCTGGCTCATCAAAACCACCCATCTGTAGGTAGAGTAGCCCATGTTATGCATTACATTAACATAAACATCAGGGAACTTTCTCAGCCAATGACAGTGAGACCAGGAGGCTTTCCCTGTAAATGATCTAAGGATTCCAAACAAAAATGACATTGAAAAAAAAAGGGGGGGGGGGAGGGGAAGAACTCTTAAGAATGCAATATTATTAGTACTTAAGAGTTCACAGCACAAATTTCAAGACTCAGTGCTATAAATGCAAACTGCATGTCCCTTCCAGTTATAATATCAACACTGGGAAGTCTAAATAATGTCTGCACACACCCATTCCAAACCCTCAGCACCCAGTCTGTGGTTGTGAAACTGCCCACGTGACAATCTGGAACCCCCATCAATTCTTCTGTGGGTCACTATCAAACAGGCTTTATGAGCAAATATAAACTTGGGGTTGGGGAGAGACAGGACTAAAAGCTAGGACACTAGGGAAGACTTCCCTCCCTTTGGGAAATGTGTACGGATCTTTTAAAAAACTAAATAAAAGTCTCATGCAAATTCTCTAACCAGGAATGTTTCCCCCAGGACTCGGCAGTGTCTCTGAAATGCAACCAATCCAGGAAGACAGTTGCCCGCCCCGTCCTGGGAATCAGAGAGCCTAACTTCAGCTGGCACTTGGCTCATGGCTGTAAACCCATCTCAGGTTATATAAGACATGTGCTTGGCTTCTGTGCACAGTGTTGTATTTGCTGCTTAACACTTTAAAGAGCCCTGGTGGGGCCGTCAGATAAGTGCTGGACGGCTCTAGCTCTAACCACAAGACCAGGGGTTCAAAGCCACTAGCTATTCTGTAGGAGAAAGGTTTTCTTTTTAAATCTGCAGGATCACTGATTGCTCTATGGATAAAGATAATAAACACACAGGTGGCTTTCACAATTCTCAGGTGAATTCAAGAAACCTGTGATCTGCATGACACCCATCTTATTGGCTGAAAGCAAGGAGGCCTTAAAGCACTTACTGATGAAAATCATGAAGTACACAGAAACGTAAAGAAAACAAAAGTTTTCACAACTACACCAGTAAGGGGCCTTGTCAAGGATTTCACCGTACTTTAATCAACATTTAGGGAAGCAGAAGTTGAGAGAAATCAAACATAATGCATTGGATATTATCAGGCATAAACCCCAACCCACGGCCCACCGCCATGGAGGCACTTCCAGAAGACTCAATGATCCTACAGATTTAAAAGAAAGCCTCATCTTTCTCTTGCAGAGTAGCTGATGGATTTGAACCACTGATCTTGCTGTTAGAGGAGTCCAGTGCCTACCTGACAGCACCACTAAGGCTCTTTAAAAGTGTTAAGCCGCAAAGACAGCGCTTTGAGGACTAAGGTGTGCCTGACCCAAGCCACGGCATTTTCAGTCACCTTATGCACACGTGGAAGCTGGAGAACAAATAAGGAAAGCAGAGAATTGATGGTGTTCAAGAGAACAATATTGAACACACCAGGAGCTGCCAGAAGGACAAATCTGTGTGGGAAGAAGTACAGACAGAATGCCGTTTAAAAGCAAGGCTGGTGAGACTTACTTTGGGTCTCTCATATTTTGGACGCCAGGAGGGATCCTAGAGAAGGGCATCACGTGCTTGATAAAGAGGGTGGGGGAGAGGAAAACGCTCAATGACAATGATACTGTTGCTATAACAACGGGCTCAAACATAGTAAAATTGTGCGGACAGTGTTTTGTTGTACATGGGGTTACTAAGAGTCAGAATCAATTTACGGACACCTAAAAACAATACGTACTACAAGTGGTGCTGGCAAGACCTCTTATTCGAGGACTAGTTATCTGAGTAGGAAATGAGTGGTATTCGCTTGGCTATATGCAATAGGATAAGTTCCTGGTTTGGAAATCTCACTAAGGAGCTGTAAGTAAGTACCTTAATTTACAGGGCACTCCTGTTTAATGCTTGCTTAATTATAAGCCCTCTTCCCTCTCTTTGTGGAGAGTGTGCCTGGGTTGGTAGAATTTGTCATTAATATTGCTTTTCCAACAACCTGAGGAAGGCAAAACATTCGAGTTGTCTAACACGATGTTTCCAGCCAAGGCTGATTAAGGTGACGCTGCCTCAGTTAAGTTCTCATGCTTAAACAAATGTCCCTGTAGTGCCACGTCTGGGGACATTTTGTGCTTTTTGTTGTACAGGCACCTTAAGGAGGAAATACCAGGTAAACGCTTCCTTGAGACATCAATAGTGCCTTCCCTCTTTCCACACGCCCGTGTGCAAGGGAGAGAGAGAAAAGTTGAAAGTATAGAGCAGCAGTTCTCAACCTGTGGGTCACGACCCCTTTGGGGGTTGCCCAATTCCTAACAGTAGCAAAAAGTTATGAAGTAGCAACGAAAATAATTTTATGGGGGGTGGGGGTCACCACAAATGAACTGTATTAAAGGGTCGTGGCATTAGGAAGATTAAGAACCACTAAGAATTCAATGCTAATGAATCAAAAAATATAAAGTCACTGACCCAGTATTTTCTCTAGAACAGCAATTTAGCACTTCTTAATTCAGTGTTCAAAGGACTTTATGGAATTACGTTGGATAACAAAAACTGACTCCATTTCCCAGGGCATTGTTATTCAATGAGATAAATGGAACTGCCCTTCTCCTATTAAGGACCTTGACACTGTATGTAACTTCAAGAACAAAAACTAATTGGAAGGTAAAGCTTTTAACACCTCTAAAACTTTTTAGTATAAAAGCATTCTTTTTTAATAAAACAAAGAGAAAAAAGTTACAGAAAAGAAGTGTCACACATTCCTCACACACTTCACTCCCAACTCTGGGTCAGGGATAACTTATTCCAATTCTTAGATACATCATGGACAAAAAGAACTCCTCAAACAGGAAACCGAATGGATCAGACTAGAAATCAGCAGACCAGTATAATATATGAAGGGCTGCAGTTTGCGCCTCAAAATGAACCCAACTGGGCAGCCCTCAGGGACATCAGCCGGTGCCAGTCACCGAAGCCCCTCTGGGAAGTCACCAGCTATCATCAAGGCCTCACGCAAAAACCACAGGAAATAAAACCTGTCCCAAAAACCCCAGAAAGAAAAGGACGTGACTGTCGCCCAGCACATGAAATCGTTCCTCATTAGCAGCTTTTGTTTGTGATGTCAGAAAATTTGGGGGTCAAATAAATGCAGTCCCCTAAAGGATTACAATGTTAGAGTTCATGGAAAGCATTTTCCACGCAAGACTGAGGACAGTCGGGTCCCCTTTGCTATGGACAGCACATAATCCAAACTAGAATGTACATTATCCGATGAAGCCAACAGTTGTGAAAATCAGTTTGGTTTTGAAGCAGCTCAGTTTTAAAGCCCATACTTACCAGTGTTGGCACCAAACACAATCTTTACAAACACCCCTTGTTGCCACGTGAGGTGATTTTATACAGTGTGTTACTGTGTATGAAATAGTTTGGGGGTGTGTGTGCATGAGATATAGCTTACCCAGTCTCTACCAACAGTAGATAACCTTCAATGAAAATATGAGAGGGAAAAACAGCAAGCATGCCTTCTCCTCTGAATAAATACCCCAACATGAATAGGAGTAGCAAGTGCCCTCGCCCCGTGACCCAGCAGCCTCTCCCAGGCAGGTCTTACCCGTTGGAGGCTGTCCGTAAGAGGTTGCGTAGGCGGTCTGCCCGTAAGTTGCAGTGGTCTGAGCCTGGGTATAGCTGACATCAGTGGGCTGTCCATAGGTTCCATAACTTTGTTGCCCATATGCCTGCTCCAAAGAAACCGGACACAAGAATTTCATAGGAACCTTGTATTTTAGCAACAACAATGGACGGGGGCTTGCTTCTAAGTTTCTAAATTAGAGACCAGTCAAAAACACTACTTTCTGGTAAAAATATTTCTAAACCAGACTAGTACTCACAACATTATGACTATTTGTTACCCCATATCCAAATCACCCATATTTTAGTAAGCTAACTGCACAAACAAAACAACAACCAAAAAAAACCCCAAGCCCAAACATCTCCTGAGATAATTAGGCAAGACCTTAGTTAACTATAGAGGAAATTAACAAGGCAACTACAGAGGGCATTAATAAGGCATCCTCGAGGGAGGGGCAACGAGAACACAAGTGTATAATTGCCAGCACTTAAGTGTAGCAGTTTCAGGAATCAGAAATCATCCCCAGCAGGATAAGATACATGAACAGAGGAGGACACAGGACTAACATGAGTGGTTTAGAAGCCCACCCCCACTAGCTTTAAACCCCACTTTAACAAACCAGAATATCCTATGTCCTTTTAAGTTCAGCACTTCGAGAGCACTGTCTTTGGAACCTAGACCCCAAGAATATGTAAAGCCAAGCAAGGACTGAGCTGTTCTTTCGGATGTGCGTGTAACCATATTTTAGATTTGGTGGATGACCAGTTATGTAAGCTCTGTTAGAGATAACACATTCTGCCTGTCCTAGAATAAGTTTCCATGGCACAGTTATTAGTATCCATTTAATGTCACGACCCAATTCAGAATTCGAGGAGATCCTGAGAACACCGGGAGGCTAATTCTAGACGCTGTTGGCTCAGGCTTTTAAGCAGACTCGTGTACTGACTGGAAAGTACTCCGGTGCTCTGTAGCCAGGCAGTCCTCCTGCCTTCTAAGCTGACCCTGCCACTTGTATGCAACACCAGCAGATTACATAATCCTTATGCACACAATAGTCCTAATAGCATCTTAATCTGCAGCACTGCTGTGGTGATTAAATAAGTTCAACAAATTAAAACCCAACAAAACATGCAGAAGCACCAAACATGGAGCATGGCACTTCCTCTACACTTAAGAAATGGTGATTATGAAACGTATGGCTGGCTACCTCTTTCTAGCTTTAGGATAACTACGGCAGAATGAAGTCCCTTTCCACGCCCACCGTATTTTATGAACACATTACTATTTCACTTTGCTCTTGCCTGAAAAAAGATCTGTGCTGGCTATTTTAATGGCTGACAGAAACATTTTACTGGGAGATGCAATTACATCTAATATTCTTAAAGCTTACCTGGGTGGTTTGTGCATATCCTTGAGTGGGCTGGGCGGTGTAAGCACTGTAGCTGCAAGAGAAATTCAAATGCAAAAACTGAATATAGCCCATTCAGATTTCATTACTACCGCCTGGACATCTATGGAAGGCTTCATACTTTAAAAACTCTAATGAACCACACACAAAATACTGTCATAAAAAATGACTTACCCCTGCTGGGCTGCAGCTTGGCTGTAGGTACTGTAATCTAGGGAAAACAAAGAGAAAAGATAAGTAAACCTAGGAAGATATAGAAAAAGCAAAAGGGAAAAGGAACTCAAATGGTTGAAGAATTCTTTAAACTGACAAAGACTTACCACTACTCATCTCTGAACACCAAACCAAAAATTATTCCTGGGCCAGAGAAACCCAGAAAGTTTAAGTCTGGTGTCAACCAGCAAGGTCAAGATCACTGGATCTGGCAACTACACTTGGCATATCTCATGACCCCAACCATTCACCTCCAAATGTACAACCACTATTCCAAGACTAACTGAAGATGAGACCCAATAGCAGGATCAAAAGAGCCAATGTACATTCACATAAAAGGGCTGCAACAAGGGTCCCGAGTTTAGCCTCAGCCCCATCTTCTAGGATAGGAGGTAATATTGTCATTTACATAACTCCCAAGCAGGACCTTCCATCCACTGCTGTCAAGTCTATTCCAACTCACAGTGAGCCTGGCGGCCAGAATAGAACCACTCCACTGGCCTTCCAAGGCTAGACATCTTTATGGAAGCAGGCAGCCACATCGCTCTGCTTTGGAGCGAGTGGTGGGTTGGAACTGTCATCTCTAGAGGAACGCTTTGACCACTGGGTTTCCTTAGGAGAATGGCCATGAGATGAGAATGAACAAGAGGATATCCATCGAAAGGATATGCACTTAAACGGCTCCAGACTGTCAGGGTTCCACTTGTATCATGACCCCAAAGCTAGATATAAGCAGACTTAAAGCAGAAACCTGGAAATTGGCAAGGAAAAGGAAGCCAAGGTAGGGGTGAGCGGCGCCAAATTCGGTTTTAAGTAAGGTAATCTTATTTTAAAATTCTCAAAGTAATTTAAAAATAAAAACAAACCCCATTTCCCTTCCATTCTCTACATAAAATTTGCCATGATTTACTATTTTACTTACATCATGTATCAAATGGACTAAACTTTGGTCTATTGAGGCATCTACTAGTGGAAACAAATAGAAAATAAAATGGTCAAGAAGTTTTCACAACACTACTGAAATAAACTTATATACGCTCAGTGCATTTTTTAAAAAGTAGTTTACTACTGTAAAACAACAACCAAAAAAGCATTTGTTTTCCCTCTCTATAAGCTCTGGTACTTGGTGCTGTGTTTGAAGACACTATTGCCATTAGGTCTGAACAAAAACACCCTTTCTTCTCTATTCAGAATGAGCACTACAGTGCATGGAAAAGCACTGGCTTACATTTCAGTTCATGGCATGTTGTTTCTGTCCCCTTAGTGCCATGGAAAGCTGGTCTCTCAGTCTTGTCCTGACAGCATTTTACTAAATCCATCTCTTTAAGATGTTTTTCTCCCTTGTCACTCCACCATTTTTTGTGTATTTCTAAATCAGGACCCTGAATCATAAGTTAACCACCCAAAGGCTAGCTATATTGATAAACTGTTTTGTTAGGCAAGCGTACAGCATTTTCATTAGTACTACAAAATTCAAGACAGTTACCCTGCAAGGCAGAGTAGAACATGTCTTTGGGTTTCCAAGCCTTTAAACCTTCACAGGAGACAGCCTCATCTTTCTTCCTCAGAGGGGCTTGTGGGCTTGAACCACTAACCTTACAGTTAGTAGCCTGTTATGACATGAACCCTCCCCATAGCACTAGAAGTCACCCTTTTCATTCACAGGGCACGTTAAGAGTGGAAATCATTCCTTCCAAGTGGCACGGCAAAAGCAACATATCAGTGAAGCAGCTAAAATACTTCACTGTGGGTTTTCTGCATGGGAAATGACTCTACACCTTGGTACAGGTACATTCAACGCTTGCAAGAGGGCTTTTTCCTAAGAGCAGCTGCATACAACACAAAATTAGCAAAGCTGTGAAGGAACCGCTGAGGTTCTCAAATCAGTCTAGTGGATTTAGGGGACTCACCCGGTAAAGAGGGGCAAAGTGGTTTCCCCGAGAATTACCGTTTTTTATCTACCTATAGCACATTGTATGGTCTCAACTCTGCCATAGTGACACCCTAGTCAGGGAATTGAGGCCACCAGTTGTCTGAGGGGCTTCACAGAGTTCCTAGGGAAAAAAGCCATCATCTTTTAGTTACATTTTCCCAAACTTTTTTGGTGACTGCCCTCATGTTTTGTTTTCAATCTCTGAATGGGCAGTTGGAGACCACTAAGGATCCTACAGAGCAAGGGAGAGGAAGGAGGGCTGTGGTCTAGAGGCTGGCACTGCTTTTACTTCTTGATCTGGGAGTTTGCCTTGTAATCCTTTGTTACACTGGACATACTGCCTTAGCTATCTGTAAGGCTTTATCTGTAAAGCATATAGACAGGGACAGGACACCTAATATTCAAGACAGTATTCTACACATCTCAGGGGCAGCCATCTGCACTGTTGAGACTTAAGTTACTCAGACTATCGAGCAGTTACAGCCAGTGCTAGCCCACAGGCTTTGTAAGCTGTCACAAGGGCTCAGAAAGCCCTTTTAAAAAGCCCTAAACACCCACATTTTGCAGGAAATGAAAGGAAGATCCAGTTAAGTCACACGACATCCACAAGCCCCTGCTCCTTTTGGGTCTACTATAGTATGCAGAAGGGGCCTTCAAAAAGTTCCTGGCGGTGGAAGGAATTAAGGTGACTGTGGAATTTTCCCACGAAGTCCCCTTGATCTGCAGAAAACACAAGTCTAATTGGAACACAGCGCACATGGGTAGCCAACAGGATTTGAGGAAAGCCGACGGAGAAACGGGCAACGCTGGCCAGGGGGAACAGGAAATTTTAGAGGTCGCCTTCCAAGGCTACAGGCGCGGCCCTAACTCAAGACTACAAGGAAGAGAAGGAAGGGGTGCAAAGGGCACCTGGCGGTGGCGTTCCGGAGCCCTCTTTTGGGGGGGCACCTCCGTTGACTGCAGCACTCACTTGCTTACACAGTGGGGGAGCATCAGAGACCAGGTCTCAAGTCACTGAAC